GGCGGGGGAGCTGGAAACGTGGTACCTCAGGGGCCAGACGGATGTGGTGTTGTCTTCGCCAACAGTGTGTAGCAGGAGGAAGACGGGAGAGTGAGCGGTCTGTAAGTAGAAAGTGTCGGGGTAAGCGGCAAAGGTGATGAAAAAGGCGGCTGACGCGGCGTTTGCGTCGTCAGCGGCGGCCGCGGCGGCCGCGGCCGCGGCCGCGGCCGAGGCTGCGCGCCCGCCTGGCGGCGGTGAGGGCGGCGAGAGGAGAAGCTGATCCCGTGCCGCGACGAGGGCCGCGAAGGCTTGGGCCGCGTGCGGATCGTCATTCTTGTCGGGATGAATGCGCACGCACAGCCGGTGGTACGCCTTGTTCACCTCGGCCGCCGCCGGCCTCGCAGAGACCCTGAGCACAGCGCGCGGGCCGCTCGCTGCCGCGGCGAGCACTCGCGCGACGTGTGCGGCCTCCTTTGCAGCATCACTCTGGCCGAGGGCGATTGCCTGCTCCGCCAGGCTGTGTGCGCGGCTCCAGTCGCCGGCAGACGCGGCGACGCGGGATTGGGACAGCGAGGAGGCGGCCGCGAGCGTCATGACCGCTTGCCCCAGCCGGGCCACGCCACCGCGAGCACGCCTGTAGCCTCTCGTTGCCTCTCGTCGCAACGCGGGAAAAGAGAATTCGACGAGCCCTCGCTCTCCCCGACACAGGTTCGAAAAGAGAATTTCGAGCCAAAGCCTCCATGCGCCTGATAGTTTAGTCACACGCGTTTGCCGTGCCGCGTGCGCGCCTCGTTTTCTCAGAGACTATGGAAAGTTCACGTCATGACGGTTAGCCGCTGTCACGACCGTTAGCCGCTTTCACGACAGCTGGGAGCTGTCATGACAGCAAACGACAGCGACAGTGACACCTACCTGTCACCAGCTGTCACCAGCTGTCACCAGCTGTCACCAGCTGTCACCAGCTGTCACCAGCTGTCACCAGCTGTCACCAGCTGTCGTTGCTGCTGTCGTTGCTGCTGTCATTGCTGCTGTCATTGCTGCTCTCATGAGCACCCCCGCAGGACAGTGTCACAATGGGATGTGGTGCCACTAACGAGAGAGACAGGACACTCAAGATATACACGCACGCGCGCGCGACCGCTCACTCGCTCGCCCGACGCCACATGAGAAACCCTCTCAACAGGAGCCACGCACCGTCAGCAGCAGCGTGAGTCACAGAATCTGCAAAACCCTTGCCCTCCTTCCTCCAGCATGTGCCGTGATGGGCTCCAGCGCTGGTTCATCTGCCGCTCAAAAATCTCACGCGAGCGAACGGCGTCAATCATCAACCGCGAGGATTGGGACCTTGAAATCCACGTCGCAAGCAAACGCGCAGAGCATTGAACACACCTCGGGTATTGAACCTCTTGGCCATTGCCGAGCCACAAGGCGTTGATCAGGAACTCTCATGTAGAGAGCTCGGCTCTGCTACAAGAAAGCAGGCTCGCCCTACACAGAGAAATTGTGAGGTAGAGGAGCAGGAGTTTTGCAAAATGTGTGAGACGTACAAACGCTGCTGTGCATCAAGCGCTGAGAGCTACATCCACGCGCACCGGTGTCTTATTTTAGTCCATGGGGTGTAATGCACAGATGGGTGGGTGGGCGGTTGGGCCCCTTTGCTGGTGCCTGTCACTAGGGCTATGGCTGCCTCACTGTGGCGCTGGCGCTGCCTCGCTGTCGCTGTCGCTGTCGCTGTCGCTGTCACTCGCAGGGCTTTGAACGATCCGCGTGTGAGGTAGCATAGAGGGCCTTGTTGGCAGCAGCCAGCTTGTTGCGCTGCTTCGTTGCGATGAGCTGATTGGGATCGCAGAAGTGCATGCCAAGCACCGACACGATCTTGAAGCAGAACACATCGCAACCGCATCGTCCGCACTGCCATCGGCATGCCGCGCCCGCCGCTTTTCGCCGCAGCCGACATAGCGGCACAGCACATGGTCGGTGTGCGTACTTGAGCAGGCGTTGCGCGCCGCAAGTAGCGCACTGGCCCTGTGGGAGAAAGCGATATGGCGTCGTGCACGGCATAAGTTATTAACTTTCCACCTTCTCGCTTTCTCTCTAAGTTCATGGCCCCCGACCATACAGCGTCTAAGTCTGAGCCCGGCTCCGTGCGGGGGCTAAGTTGAGCGCTCGCTCGCTGCAGAGGCTAAGTGTAGAGCGACCCTCTAGCCCTACGTTACTACCCACAACCATTCGGTCTCAGACCTACATTCTATATTCCAGAATGGCATTCTTCGAAATAGAATGGGCGCCGCAGCGGCCCGTAGCGGCGCCCCCTGCGTGCCCACGGCCACCCCGGGGCCATGGGACATGCCCCCGGCCATCGAGGATGCTTGGTTCATCCATTACCCCATTTACACGGGCTGTGTTGCGGCGCGCCTCGAGACGCGCAGCGCAGCGCAGCGCGCAGACCACAAAACAGGTCAGAAGACGGCCGTGGCGACACCCGCTCTCTGAGCGACAGCCCCGCAAAGGGCACTCGCTCGCAGGCGAGGACTACGGGCAGCACAGGCAGCAGCAGAGCTGGCGGTCCGTCTCCCCGCCCGCTGTAGCAAGTCGGCCCCAGCGTCACGGCCGGGACGGGCCAGGAGCCGCCCGGCTCGACGAGATCGACGAAGAGGACGAAGACGAGGACGAAGACGAGGAGAGGACTACTCGAACTTGGACGAGGACTCAGGCGAGGCGCAGGACTCGGAGACCGGGCAGGGAAGCGAGGACCATGACTAGGTGACACGAGGAGTAGATGTGACACAGGTAGACCGCATTCGCGCTGTCTGCTCACTTCTGCCGCCCGACCCTTTCGCCCGCCCACCACTTGCGAGCACAAATCTCACACTTCCACTGCCCTCGCCACAGGCGGCGACGGACGGACATCCAAGGCTCGAACGGCGGCAGCGGCTCAACAGCCGCCGGCGGCCGTCGTGCGTTTGCTTTCGCCATACGCGGCCCCCGGCGTCTGCTCTGGTTTGCCGGGGCGGGGGGGAGGACTCTCATTTGCGGACTGTTGGGCTTCTCTGTGTTGAACTGGCGCTTGTCGCGAACCCCACCAGTCTGGCCGAGCGGCACGCTGCCGCTGGGGGCGTGAGGAGGCCGTGGGGGACGGCGGCGGACCCCATTCTTCGATATAGAATGGGCCCTCACCGCGGCCCGTCTGCTGCTGAAAATGTGGCGTGTTGGGGGCTCTCCTGTGTGACTCCTCTGGCTCGCCGCGTTAAAGTGGCGCCTGTGTGTGACCAGCCTCAACCCCGGCAAGCGCCCCCCGGCCGCTGGGGCTGCGAGGCGGCCGGGTGAGCGCGCGCGAGACGCCATTCTACATTATAGGATGCCA